TGTATTAATTAACCCATAAATTTTCTTTTTGGATGAAGAAATTCTTTCATTTCTTTCTTTTTTTTTAAACTTTTTATTTTCAATCTGTCCTTTCTTAAGTCTTTTCTTTTAACTTGAGCTTTAAATAAACTTTCCACTTTTTCATTTATTTCTTAGGTATTTTAAATGTTCTTTCTTTCTAATTTGGATGGATTTTCATTCTTAATTTTAAAGATTCTTTTTTCTTATTTTCTTTTCAACTCTTCATTGAAAATTTCCTGCAAATTTTTATTCTCATATTTCTTCCCAAAGATTAATTTATTTTTCTTTCTTTCTTTCATTCATCCTTTCAGAGAACAATCAAAAATTGGATAACTTTTATCTGTTTTTCTTTCTTTTTCTATTTTTTAAACTTTCATATATATATATATATATATATAAATATTTTTTTTTGATTTTCTTTCTTCCCTCTTAATTCCTTTCTTCTTCTCTATGTCTTATTTCTTTTCTTAGACCAGCGTTCTTTAGATGAATAAATGAAAACCAATTTTTCATCTATCTTCTTATTCTCTCTTATCTAAAACTTCTGTCTTTTTTATCAGCAAAATTCTCTCTTTCCTTACACCTTATATATATTCATTCTTTCATTTTATTTCAGCCCATTTTCTTTCTTTTTTCTCTTCTTTCTCCTAATTTTTCTTTTCAGTTTTTCTTTCTTTCTTTCTTCTCTGTATTTATCTCTTTTTTTCTTTCTTTCTTTCATTTTTCTTCTTTACAATGCTTCTTCCGAATATATTTTCTTTCTTTCGCCATTTCATCCTTTCTTTTTCTTTGATCTCTTCCTTTAAAATAATTTTCTTTCTTTTCTTCTTTCTGTCTTTAATTATCTATCTTTTTCTTTTTCCTTCTTTCTTTTATCCTTTCCCAGACTTCTTTTTCATTATATTTTTCTATCTCCATTCATCTGTTTATCCCTTCACTTCTTTCAATTTATCTTCTTGCTTTAATTCAAGATTATTTGTCTTGTCATCTTTCTTCTTTCTTTCGAAAAACCTTCATTTTATCTGAGACACTTTTCTATCTATTCCTTTTTCTTTCTTTCTAAATCCCTTTCTTTCATTAATTTTCTATCTATCTTCTTATTTCCTCTGGTCTTTATCTTCTCCTTCTTTCTTTCTTTCTTTCTTTCTAACTTTCTTTCATCTATCTATCTTTTCTTTTTCAATTATCTTTCTCCTTTTCTTTTTCTTTCATCTTTTCTTTCCTTCTTTAATCTATATATTTTTCTTTCTTTCTATATATTTTATTCTTTCTTTTATTCATCTTTTTTTTTCTTATTTTATCTAAAAAGAATTATTTTTCTTTCTATCTTTCTTTGTCTTTCTCTTATCGTCCGACGTTTGTCTATTATCTATTAACTTTCTTTCATTTTAATTCTTTTTCTTCCGACTTTTCTTTTTTTCTTTTATTCTTTCTTCGTTCTGACTTTTCTATTTCATTTTTGGAGCTCTCCTATTTTGTATCTATCTCTATCATATCTATCTCTTCCTTTCTTCATTTTTTCTATTTATTTGAACTATCTTTCTTATTTTCTATTTTTCTATGTATCTTATTTTTCTTTCCAGTTTTCTTGGAAATCTTTCTTTTCTTTCTTTCATCCTTTTCTTTTTTTTCCTTTCTTTTTTTCGTATCTATCTTCTTTTCCGCCTTTTCTATTTATTTTCATTTTTCTCAATTTATTTCTACTTTTCTTTTTTCTTTTCTTTCACCTTTTTATTTCATTTCTTCTTTCTTATTTTTCTTTATTCATTTTTGTTTGTTTCTTTCTTTCAGCAGACTTTCTTTTTCATTTCTTTCTTTCTTAATTTTTTATTTCTTTCATTTTAATCATTTTTTTCTTTCTTAAAATTCTTTTTCTTTCTTTTTTTTCTTTCTTTTCATTTCCTTTCGTTCTTTTTTTTCTTCTTTTTTTATTTTCTTTTTTTTTTTGTTCTTTCATTGGGAATTCATTCATTCTTTTCTTCAGAAAAAAAAAAAAAATTTTTTTTTTCTTTCATTGTTCAATTTTTCATTCCTTCTTTTTAATTTTTCCTTCTTTCTTTCATTTTGTTTTGCGCTCTCTTTCTTGCATCATCATATTTTTTGAAATTTTTTTTTCTTTCTTTTTTTTGTCAATCCTATTTTCTTTATTGTCTTTTTGTTTTAATTATTTTTTCAATCCTTTCTATTTCTTGTCTTCTCTTCATTAAAATATCTCTTAAAAGCGTTTTTTTTCTTTTAAACTTTCTTTCTTTCATTTCTTCCAATGAAGAAATTCATTCTTTTTCTTTTTCTTTTTTCAATCTTCATTTTCAAAACATTGTCTTTTTTTCCATAATTTCATTTTTTTTTTGAGAAATAACATTCTTTCATCTTTTCAATATTTTTTCATCCTTTTTTTTTTTAATTTTTTTAAAAAGATTCTCTTTTTTTTTCAATCTCTTGTTTGTTTCTTTTTTAAAAGGAAAAACAATTCGAAAAAAGGTTTTCTTTCTTTCTTTTTAAAATCTTAATTGTTTGTTTTTTGTTTCATTTCTTTCTTCTTCCTTATGAATCTTTTTCTTGTCATCTTTCAATTTCCCAATCGATTTTTTTTTTCTTTCTTTCATTCATTTTCCCTTTCTTGTTTGCTTTTTTCTTTATTTCCATTTTTCTTCTTTTTTCTCCTTTTCTTTCTTTTGTTATTTTTCATTTTTCATTTTTCTTTGTCTTTGTTTTCATTAATCTTTTTTTCTACAAGAGTCTTTTTTCCTTTCTTTCTTTTGTTCTTAATTCTTTAATTATTTTTTTATTTCACTCTTTCTTTTCTTTCATTGTTCTGTTTTTTCATTCATATTTTCTTTCTTTCATACATTCTTTCTTTCTTTCTATTCATTTCATTCATATTTCTTTCTTTCTTTCTTCTTTTCTTTCTTTCTTTTTATATTCATTTTCTTTCTTTTTTTATATTTCCAATTTTTCTTTTTTTCATTGTTTTATTTTTAATATATCTTTCTTCATTCATTCTTTTCTTTTTTTTTTTCTCCTTTCATTCATATTTTTTTTTTCTTTCATTCTTTTTTCTTTCTTTCTTTTCATCCAAATTTATTTTTTCCTTATTCATATTTCTTCATATCTTTTTTCTTTCTTTCTTCCCTATATTTCTTTCTAATAATCTTTCTTCTTTTTATTTTCATTAATTCTTTTGAAAATTGTTTCATTCATTTTTTTCTTTCTTTGTTTCTTTCTTTCTCTTTTCCTCAATTATTCCTTTTTCCTAGATCCTTTTGTTTTCATCTGAGGTCTTTCATTTTGAATCCTTTTTCCGTATATTCTCTTTTCTTTATTTCTTAATTTCTTATATTTTTCTTTTTTCAAAATTCTTTCATTCTTTCAATCTTTTTTTTTTCTTTTTCCATTCTTTTTTAGTTAATTTACTTTGTATCAAAATATCTTTTTGAAGAGAATTCGATTTATCATTTTTCTTTTCTTTCTTTTTTCCTCTTCCTTTTTCTTTTTCTTTCTTTTCTTTATTTTTTTCTTTCTTTTTTGTTTCTTTCATTCATTCTTTTTATTTCTTTCTGATGTTTATTTTTCTTTCTTTCATTGAAAATTCTTTTTTTCATTATTTCTTCTTTTTTTTTTTTTCTTTCTTTTTCATTGTTCCTTTCTTTACTTATTTTTTTTTTCTTTCATTAAAAATAGTTCTTTTCTTTTTTCTTTCTTCGTCTTCTTTTTTCCCTTTTCTTTTCTTTTTTGGATTCTTTGTTTTTTCTTTTTTTTTTCTTTCATTTCTTTAGCGTTCTTTCTTTTCTTTTCATTTTTCTTTCCTTTACGAGGAGATTTTCTTTCTTTCATTTTTCTTTCTTTCTTTCTTTTTTCCGCTTTCTTCTTTTCTTTCCTTTTTTCTTTCTTTCTTTTTCTTTCTCCCTTAGATTCTTTTTTTCTTCTTTCATTCATCAATTCTTTTTTTTTTATATTTAAATCCTTATTTTGATCCTTTTTCAAGATTTGGCTTTTTTCCTTTTTTTTTATTTTTTTCCAAATTTTTTTCTTTTGGATATCTTGATTTCTTCTTTGGTTCTTTTCTTTTCTTTTTAAATTTTTCTTTCTTTTCAATTTTAATTTTTTCTAAATAAAAAAAACAAAAAAAAAGAAAATATTCTTCATTTCTATATCTATTCTTTCATCCTGTCGAAATCGACCAATTTTCATTCTATTTTATTTTCATTCATTTTTTTATTTTTCTTCTTTTCCCATTTCTTTATTTCAACATTTTTGTTCTTTAAAATCTTCATCTTTTTCATTGTTAAAAAATCAAGTATTTTCTTTTTTGTTCCTTCTTTCTCATTTCTTTTTTCTTTTTTTTTTCTTCTCTTTCTTTAATTCATATTTCGTTTTTATTCCTCCATTTTCTTCCTTTTCTTTGTCCTCCATAATTCCTTGGAAGAGGGAAAAACATTCTTTCTTTTTTCATTCTTTTTTTTGAGCAATGATTTCGTTTTATTCTTTTTTTTTTCAAGCATTTCTTCATTCTTTGTTCCATTTTGTTTTATCTTTCTTCTTTCTTTTCTTTTCTTTTCTTTCAGAATTTCTTTCATTTCATTTTTTATTTTCTTTTTCTTTATTTTCTTTCTTCATCTTTTGTTTTCTTTTTCTTTTTTTTTCAATTTCTTCACTCCTTAAAATATTTTTCTTCATTATTGTTTCTTTTTTTTCTTTCTTTTTTTGGATCTTTTTCTTTAATTTTTTCTTTTCTTTCATTCTTTTTTTTCTTTTTTTTTTCATTCATTCTTTAATTTTCTTTCATTTTTGTTCTTTTTTTAACTTTCATTTTCTCTTTCTTTTCTTTCTTATTTTTTTTTCTTAATTTCTTCTTTTTTTCTTTCGGAATTCATCTTTTTCTTTCTTTCTTTTTATTCATTTTTCTTCAATTAAAGAAATTTTTTTTTTCTTTCATTTTTCTTCTTTTTTTTCTATGTTCTTCTTTTGTTAATTCTCTCATGCGAAATCTTTTTTTCCTTTTCATTTCTTTTTTCTTTCTTCTTTTCTTTAATCTTTCTATTTTCTTTCTTTCATTCTTTTTTTTTTTCTTTTCTTTTTTATTTTCCTTTTTTTGGGACTGTCTTTCCTTTTTTTCTCAATTTTCTTTTTTCGACCTTTCTGTTCGGATTCTCTTTTTTTCATTTTTTATTTTTCTTTTCATCCTTTTTCTTTCATTTTTCCTGCTCTTAATGTCAAGTTCCTTTTTCACCTTTTTCTTTTTCATTCATTTTTCCCTTTCTTAAGTTTTTTCCCTTCTTTCAATTTTCACACGCTCCCGTCATTTTTTTTTAGCATTCTTCTTTTCTTGCATTGTTCGTCTATTCCTTTTTTTTCTTTTTCATCTTTTCTTTTTCTCCAACATTCGCTGCCGTTTTTTCTTCCTTTTTTCTTTCTTTCATTTTCTCTCCCACTAATGTCTTTCTTCTTCTTTTTTTTTTTTCTTTCTTTTCTAGTTTATTTTTCTTATTTCCTTGACCTTTCCCACTGTACTTTTTTTTTTCTTTTCATTTTCTCCTTTCTTTCTTGTCAAGACTTTAAAATTCTTTGTCTGCTTGATTCTAGTGTTCCTGTTTCAAAATTCCCCCAATTTCAACTGGTCAATTTTTTGTCTCGTCGCCAGTTTTTCTTTCTTTTCTTAAAATTTTCAATTGTTCGCTTTTTTCCTTCTATTTTTCTGATTTTTTTTCCGAATCCTTTTTATTCTTCCTTTTTATCTTTCCGGCATTTTGTCCCTCTTTCTTTTCAGCATCATTTCAATTGTTCTTTTCTGAGTTTCATTTTCTTCTTTCACAGCCAGAATTTTCTTTCTGCTGCATTTTTTTTTTCATTCTGACCTTGTCAATTTACCTCCAAGATTCAGACTTTTGTTGTCTCATTTTTGTTTTCCATCATTAGCATTTTTGTTTAATGATACGCTTCCAAGTTGTCTGCAAATTTTAGCCAAACATTTTTAGTTTGTCTTGCGTGTCAATCCAGTTCGTTAATTGTCTTTTTTTCAACTGGAATCATTTTGGAGATGGATGGTTATCCTCAAAACTTTGATAAATTGGACTATATTTTTCTGTTCAAAGTTGGACTAATAATTAAAATATAAAAATAAAATTAAGGAGTCGAAACTTTCTTTTCATTTGGAAGATGGGTGGTTTAATGTCAAGACTTGCTGTCCTATGTGTCTGGATTTTCTGTTTGTCTTCGTGGTTTGATTGCCTTAAGAGGCGGACTGTCTTTTTCAATTGGCTATTTCTTTTTTCTGGCGTCCGTTGTTTTGGAGCTTACTACTAGACGCACTGTCGCCTACTGTCTGTTTTTCTTCTTTTCATGGAAATTGCTCCGAGGAGCTGTTTATTATTAAGACTTGCTCAAATGTCTCTTTTTTGTTGTTGTTAATTTGAGCCTCCCGCTTACCCTTCACCGTCGAAACTCCTAAATGTAGCCCTTTTCTACTTTTTTTTGGAGTTCTCACTATTAATATCAAGAACTTCTTCCTGTCCTGTTTCTCGGATTTTTCATCTTCCTCTCATATACCCCTTTTTCTTCTTCTTCTTCTTCTTCTTCTTCTTGTGTGTGTGTATTATTATTATTGTATTGTTATTATTATTGTGCTTCTTAGCCGTCTTCTTCTTGGCTACGTCTTTTCTACATCTTTTTCTTCTGATTTTTATTATTATTATTATTTCTTCTTTCATTTGGAGCCTTCTTTTAATGTCAAGACTTCTTCTCAATTTTCTTTTTTTTCTTCTTCTTCTTTTTGAGTCCTTTGCTTTTAATGTCATTGTCTCCTTTGTCTTTCTTTTCATTTTTTCTTTTTGACCTTCATTTCAATCATCTCAGATTTCCTTTTCTTCTTCTTCTTTTCAATTTGCTTCTTTTAATATTTAGACTTTACTCAATTGTGTCTTTCTTTCTTTCTTTTTCTTAGCCCTTGCCTTAATCCTTCAAGACTTTTTCTTCTCAAATTTGTCCTTTTTTCTTCTTTCATTTAGAGCCCTTGCCTCAATGTCAAGACTTCGTCTCAATTGGCTCCTTTCTTTCATTTGGAGCCCTTGTTTTGTCAAGACTTCGTCTCAATTGTCTTTTTTCTTTCTTTCATTTTGGAGCCCTTGCCTTTAATGTCAAGACTTCGTCTCAATTGTCTTTTTTTCTTTTTTCATTTGGAGCCCTTGCCTAATGTCAAGACTTCGTCTCAATTGTCTCTTTTTTCTTTCTTTCATTTTGGAGCCCTTGCCTTAATGTCAAGACTTCGTCTCAATTGTCTCCTTTTTCTTTCTTTCATTTTGGAGCCCTTGCCTTAATGTCAAGACTTCGTCTCAATTGTCTCCTTTTTCTTTCTTTCATTTTGGAGCCCTTGCCTTAATGTCAAGACTTCGTCTCAATTGTCTCCTTTTTCTTTCTTTCATTTTGGAGCCCTTGCCTTAATGTCAAGACTTCGTCTCAATTGTCTCCTTTTTCTTTCTTTCATTTTGGAGCCCCTGCCTTAATGTCAAGACTTCGTCTCAATTGTCTTTCCTTTTTCCCTTCTTTCATTTTTGGAGTTTTTCTCTCTTGAGCCCTCAGTGTCTCCTTAATGTCAAGACTTCGTCTCAATTGTCTCCTTTTTCTTTCTTTCATTTTGGAGCCCTTGCCTTAATGTCAAGACTTCGTCTCAATTGTCTCCTTTTTCTTTCTTTCATTTTGGAGCCCTTGCCTTAATGTCAAGACTTCGTCTCAATTGTCTCCTTTTTCTTTCTTTCATTTTGGAGCCCTTGCCTTAATGTCAAGACTTCGTCTCAATTGTCTGCTTTTTCTTTCTTTCATTTTCTTTTCTTTTTTCATTTTGGAGCTTTCTTTTTGGAGACTTGTAATGTCAAGACTTCTGTCTCAATTGTCTCCTTTTTCTTTCTTTCATTTTGAGCCCTTTTAATGTCAAGACTTCGTCTCAATTGTCTCCTTTTTGTTTTCTTTCATTTTGGAGCCCTTGCCTTTAATGTCAAGACTTGTCTCAATTGACTTTTTCCTTTTCTTTCTTTCATTTTGGAGCCCTTGCCTTAATGTCAAGACTTCGTCTCAATTGTCTCCTTTTCTTTCTTTTCATTTGGGAGCCCTTGCCTTAATGTCAAGACTTCGTCTCAATTGTCTCCTTTTTCTTTCTTTTCATTTTGAGCCCTTGCTGCTTTAATGTCAAGACTTCGTCTCAATTGTCTCCTTTTTCTTTCTTTCATTTTGGGAGCCCTTGCTTTAATGTCAAGACTTCAACTCAATTGTCTCTTTTTCTTCTTTTCATTTTGGCCCTTGCTTAATGTCAAGACTTCGTCTCAATTGTCTCTTTTTTCTTTCTTTCATTTTGGTCAAGACTTCCTCAATTGTCTCCTTTTTCTTTCTTTCATTTTGGAGCCCTTGCCTTTCGTCTTTTCTTTCTCAATTGTCTCCTTTTTTGTCTTTCTTTCATTTTGGAGCCCTTGCCTTAATGTCAAGATTTCGTCTCAATTGTCCTTTTTTTTCTTTCTTTCATTTTGGAGCCCTTGCCTTAATGTCAAGACCTTTTCTGTCTCAATTGTCTCCTTTTTCTTTCTCCTTTTTCTTTTCATTTTGGAGCCCTTGCCTTAATGTCAAGACTTCGTCTCAATTGTCTTTTTTCTTTTTTCATTTGGAGCCCTTGCCTTAATGTCAAGACTTCGTCTCAATTGTCCCTTTTTCTTTCTTTCTCTGTCAGACTTTTCATTTTGGAGCCCTTGCCCTTAATGTCAAGACTTCGTCTCAATTGTCTCCTTTTTGTTTCTTTCATTTTTGGAGCCCTTGCCTTAATGTCGAATGTCAAGATCTCCTTTTCTTTCCAATTGGAGCCCTTTTTTAATGTCTTTCGTCTCTCAATTTTCTTTCTTTAATTTGGAGCCCTTGCCTTTTCGTCTCAATTGTCTCCTTTCATTTTTGGGGCCTTGCCTTAATGCCAAAGACTCGTCTCAATTGTCTCCTTTTCTTTCTTTCATTTGGAGCCCTTGCCTTAATGTCAACTTCGTCTCCTTTCTTTCTTTCATTTTCTTCCTTTCATTTTCAATTGCTCTTTTCTTTCTTTCATTTTAATTGTCAAGACTTCGTCTCAATTTCTCCTTTTTTCATTTTTTTGGAGCCCTTGCCTTAATTAGACTTCGTCTCAATTGTCTGCTTTTCTTTCTTTCAATTGTCTCTTTTTTTTTTCTTTTCATTTTGGAGACCTTGCCTTAATGTCAAGACTTCCCTCTCAATTGACTCCTTTTCTTTCTTCATTTTGGAGCCCTTGCCTTAATGTCAAGACTTCGTCTCAATTGTCTTTTTTTTTCTTTTTCATTTTGGAGCCCCTTGCCTTAATAAGACTTGTCTCAATTGTCTTCCTTTTTCTTTCTTTCATTGGAGTCTTTGCCTAATGTCAAGATTTTTCTCAATTGTCTCCTTTTTCTTTCTTTCATTTTGGAGCCCTTGCCTTAATGTCAAGACTTCGTCTCAATTGTCTCTTTTTCTTTCTTTTCATTTTGGAGCCCTTGCCTTTCTTTCTTTCATTTGTCAAGCCTTAATGTCAAGATTTCGTCTCAATTGTCTCTCTTTTTCTTTCTTTCATTTTGGAGCCCTTGCCTTAATGTCAAGACTTCGTCTCAATTGTCTCCTTTTTTCTTTCTTTTCATTTTGGAGCCCCTTGCCTTAATGTCAAGACTTCTGTCTCAATTGTCTCCCTTTTTTCTTTCATTTTTGAGCCCTTGTCTCAAGCATCTCTCAATGTTTCTTTTTCTTTCTTTCATTTTGTCAATTGTCTTCGTCTAATTTTTTTTTTCTTTTCTTTCATTTTGGAGCCCTTGCCTTTAATGTCAAGACTTCGTCTCAATTGTCTTTCTTTTCTTTCATTTCATTTGAGCCCTGCCTTAATGTCAAGACTTCGTCTCAATTGATACTTTTTCTTTTCTTTCATTTTGGAGCCCTTGCCTTAATGTCAAGACTTCGTCTCAATTGTCTCCTTTTTCTTTCTTTTTCATTTTGGAGCAATTGCCTTTTTAATGTCAAGACTTCGTCTCAATTGTCTCTTTTTCTTTCTTTCATTTTGGAGCCCTTGCCTTAATGTCAGACTTCGTCTCAATTATCCTTTTTTCTTTCTTTCATTTTGGAGCCCTTGCCTTAATGTCAAGACTTCGTCTCAATTGTCTCCTTTTAACAACCGTTTTGGGCTTTTCTTCATTTTCTTTTTCTTTCTTTCATTTTTAGAGCCCTTGCCTTAATGTCAAGACTTCGTCTCAATTGTCTCCTTTTTCTTTCTTTCATTTGGGAGCCCTTGCCTTAATGTCAAGACTTCGTCTCAATTGTCTCTTTTGCTTTCTTTCGTTTTGGGCAATTGCCTTAATGTCAAGACTTCGTCTCAATTGTCTCCTTTTTCTTTCTTTCATTTGGAGCCCTTGCCTTAATGTCAAGACTTCGTCTCAATTGTCTCCTTTTTCTTTCTTTCATTTTGGAGCCCTTGTCTCTTTTCTTTCTTTCAAGATCTTCGTCTCAATTGTCTCCTTTTCTTTCTTTCGTTTGGAGCCCTGTTTTAATGTCAAGACTTCGTCTCAATTGTCTCCTTTCTTTCTTTCATTTGGAGCCTTGCCTTAATGTCAAGACTTCGTCTCAGTATCTCCTTTTCTTTCTTTCATTTTTGGAGCCCTTGCCCCTTGTCTCAATCGTCTCAGTATCTACTTTTCGTTGCCTTAATGTCAAGACTTCGTCTCAATTTTCTCCTTTTTTCTTCTTTCATTTTCTCTATATTAATTAAGCTTATTGTTTTCTTTCTCATTCATACTTTTCTTCTCATTTCTCTCTGTATTAATTAACATAAATTCTTTCTTTTTTTCATTCACCCTTTCTTCTTTCATTCTTCTCTATTAATTAACCTTGCCATTTTCTTTCTTTTCTTACATTTCATCCTTTCTTTTTCATTCTTCTCTGGAATTAATTAAGCTTACCAATTTGCATAACAACAACATTTCATCCTTTCTTCTTTCATTCTTTGCATTAATACCTTATAAATTTTCTTTCTTTCTTTCATCCTTTCTTCTTTCATTCTTCTTTCTTAATTAACCTTATAAATTTTTCTTTCTCTTTTTATTCATCCTTTCTTTCTTTCTTTCTTTCATTCATCCTTTTCTTTTTTCTTTCTCTTCATTTTAATTTCCTTTTCTTTTTTCTTTCTTTCTCATTCATCCTTTCTTCTTTCATTCTTCTTTATTAATTCTTTAATTAACTCTTTCTTTCATTCATCCTTTCTTCTTTTCTTTCTTTATAGTTCTCTAAATTTTCTTTCTTTCTTAAATCTCTCTTATTAAAACCTTTCTTTCTTTTCTTTTTTCATTTTCCTTTCTTTCATTTCTTCTCTTATTAATTAACCTTATAAATTTTCTTTCTTTCTTTCTTTCTTTTTCTTTCTTTCATTCACCTTTTTTCTTTGTTTAATTAATTCTCTTTCTTTCATTCATTTCTTTCTGTATTAATTAACCTTATAAATTTTC